GGGGCCGGGGGCCCGGCGTCCTGAAGGCGTGACGTCTGGGGGGTGTAGGGTCCCAGCGTCATGGGGTCCAGAGGGCATGGCGTCCTGGGGGTATGGAGCGCAGGGCACATGGGGTCCTGGGGGTATGGGGCGCAGAGAGCATAGGGTCCCGGGGGCATGGGGTCCTGAGTCTGCGGGGTGCGGGGCGTGCAGGGGCCCGGGGGCATGGGGTCCTGGGGGCACGGCGTCTGGGGCACAGGGAGGCCTGTGCCCCCGGGCGCGGGAGGCTGCAGTGCCCCGGGCTCACGGGGTGCCGGGCAGGCGGTGTCACACCTCCTTGCCTGCCCCACCAGGGCCCAGCCTGGCCCACGCCACTTCTGGGCTCACCCCCTACCCACTCCCCACGGGTGACGCTGCCCTTCAGCCAGCGCCAGCTGTGGGTCCCGCGTGTGTGCGCACACGTGCTCGCTGCGAAACTCGTGGCTCTCGCTTCGCTCCCGGATGGTGACATTTGCTGCAGCCCTTCCCGCTGACAGTCACCCCTCAGGTTTTGGCTACAGGAGAGCAAGGAGATGGTCGTGGCGTGGGGCGAGCCCGGCACTGCCGGCAGCCCCACACCAGGGACTCCCTCCCTCGGGCGCCTGCAGTCCCTTGGCCCTAAAATGCATGTGTACAGCTAACAGCCGCGCACTGGTAAAGCAAGCGCTGTCATTACTGGGATCTGCTCTCTCATAAGGCCTCCTTACCGACAGCAAATCCTGGGATCTCCTCCATCTTTATCCCCCCCAGGTGGGTTCAGAGCATTTCCCTCTTTCGCACTGTGTGTGTAACCCCCAGCGTCTTCCCCCGCTTGCAGCCATCGCCTCTCAAGCAGTCGGGTGTGAGCAGGTTCTCCGCGGGTGGGTGATGCTGGTCGCTGTCGGGTTCATGGCCGACAGCTCTGGTTTCTCCATCCTCGGGGTTCCTCAGCCTTCCCCTGGCCAGCGCGGGAGCGCAGCTTCTGCTGATCGCTGCTGGAACGGGCGACGCTTTCCACGCGTCCCAGCACGGCATGCATGCGTGCACACCGGGGGGATCGCCAGGCGTCGGCTGAAATACCCGGCTTCCTTGCAGCCCTCTCTGCAAAGCTGCTTGGGGCGGCGGGGCGGGAGCCCACGGCACGCTGCCAACCCTCCCCTTGACCCCGATGAGAACGAAGCTGGCGAGGAACAACCGCTTCCTTTGTCGTGCCTCTTCTGAACCACCATTCAGCCAGGGAAACAATGCGTAAACTGTGCTCGCTTTGCTTTGTAACTTCTTCCCTGCCATGTGGTGCTCACACCAAAACCCAGGGGTCCGTGTGAGGGGATGCAGGCAGGTGGGTGAGACGGGCAGGACGCTGCGCACCACTGTCACGCTCAGAAACTCCTGGTGACACATCCCGGGGAAGAGAAATCAGGGTAACGTGCGCTGAGCTGCTTTGCAGGAGAGAATTACGTCCAGCATTTGTCAGCGCGATTCGTCATCCGAGGATCCCCGTGGATCCACCGCAGCTCCTGGCGTCTTGGATGTCAGCCGCAGCACGGAAAATCCTCTTTCATTGCTCGTGTCCGATTCCAGATGAAAACTCATTAAAGGCAGCCGCTTCCGCCACTCCCCGCTATTGCTGGGGCACTCGCCTTTCAGTCGCATCCTATTACTGCAGGCACAGGATAATTCATACCAAAGCGCAGGATCAAAAGAAATGGTTTAAAAATAGCTGATCCTATAGCCCTTCCTTTGTGTCCGGTGCAGCCTCACCTGCCCGTGCCTCGCCACCCGTCGCTGATGGCAGCAGCACCCAACGCATCTCTGCGTGCCACCTGCTCCGGGAGACGGCCCTGCCTGACCACAAATCCCAAATCCTTTCCCTGCCTTCGCCGGGACGTTGCCATCAATTTGGATGTCCAGCGTGGTGACAAGCCAGGTTGCCCAGCCCTTTCTACTCATCTTCCACACATGTCTGGGTAAGCCAAGTGGTGTCGGAGCCCAAAGGCAAAAAATTGGCTTTTGCATAAGAAATGAATGTCTTTGGCGTGGAAGCAGGGCTGTTTTTCTCGGGCCAAGCTCTCCTGCATAGGTGGGGGGACCAGCTCAAAAAGTGTGTGCTTCGGGCCCCAGCACTGGCTTAAAAATAGGCCAGAGCGCGCTGAGTCCTCGCGGCCTCGCAGCCGAGGGGTAACCCCAGGCTGGCCCCTGTTTGCAAAGTGTATTTGTCACATACAGTCAAAGCAGGCGCCTGCCTGTAGGAGAGGCAGCCTGTTTGTGGGCTGCGCTGGAGAAAAAGTATTGCATTTGCCCCCAGATTTGTTTCTAGCGTGCCCAGCACTAGTCACAAAACACAATATCCCAGAAGGGTTTTATTTTTACGATGATACATATTTTACACGCAGATCCATGGACGCGACTTGTTTGTTTGCAGTCCAGCCTGGTTTTAATCACTTTGAATTAAGTAACTGATCTTATTACTGATCCGACTATGAGAGGGCTTATCACAGGTTCCTTGGCACATGATGAAGATTACTCCGTCAGTGCAACCACGTCTGAATAATGTGGCGTGTCCTCTTGGAGCTATTTTTTTCTTCACCCTCCTCTGGGATGTTGATCCTTTGGTTTCTCCAGCCAGTGACCAAGTAAAACCTGCTTAGCGCCACCGAAACCCAGCCACGTAAGAGGACAAAGGGAAGAGCTCTGCCGTTTCTTGTAGCAGACGTCATTTGTTTCCTGAGGTTTTCATTAAATTGAGGGCAGGATCATATCGACTTAATGGACATGATTGTGGGTGTAATTAAAAGCAATATGAAAATAGGTAGTATCAGTGAGCACGTTAAACACAGTTAATGTTTAGCGCTGGTTTTGAGCATGAGATAAAAGACAGGCAAATAGTGCATGGCTCATTTTTGAAAAGGGCTGAAAGGTCCGGGTTTTACTCCAGCCCTTGCAAGGCTTTTGTGTGCAGGTTTGACTCTGAACATTTACCAGTCTCCTCTCTCGAAAGCAGGCTTGGGACCAAAGGTCAGCAGAGTCCGGACAACAGCTCCTGACCCGTGGTGGGCTGGAGCAGCAGAGCTGCCAGCTTGCTTTAAGCCTCCGGCTCTGGGGTCTTCATAGGCAAGTTGGATAGAAACGCCTAATGTCCCGTTTAGCTAAAATTAAACATCTTCAGAGAGCAGTAGTGAGGAGAGTCAGGGGTTGGCAGCAGAGGCACTGGGCTAGAGTATACACGCTCTATGTCCCCCTCCCACCACGGGTACGTCACTGACCCCCAGTTTAATCTCGCTGTGCCCCCAGCAAACCATCTGCAGAACGGGTGCAGTAACACCACTTCGCCCATCCTGGTTTAGTTGGTGAGCTCCTTAGGTCAGGGATAATATGCAAGCATATCGATTCGGTCTTTGGGGTCCTGGCCCTGCACGGGGACCCCCTGCTCTGCTGTCGTTAGACAGGGGACATAGGTTGGTCAGCTGGTGCTGGCCTGCGGGGAGACAAGGCGGCAGAGCTGCTGGCAGTCACCAGATGGGACATGTTCTTCTTTCATGAGGACACGCCAGGCGAAGAGGCGGATGGCAGTCCCAGGCACCTCTGTTTAGCTGCGATGAATAATAGCTGTTGCTGACACCTCGTGGAAGCCTTAGATAAACATTTTCTCCAGAAACGTTTCTGTTTCATTTCCTCCGCTGCTGCCGGTTCCCCAGCTGAGGAGGAGCTCACCCTTCATTTCTGTCATCTCCACAGCACGCAGGCGGGAAGCAGGCAGGAGGGCCCTTGGCTGCCCGCAGGACCAGGGCCGGGAGGGCAGCTGAGGAAGGCTGCCCGGGGACTGTCCTTTCCCTCCCCGAGAAGGAGGAGGGCACACGTCCTCCCTGCAGGGTGGTGAGGATGGATGCGTGTTCCACATCAGATGCGGAGAGGGAAGCATCCCCCTCCTGTACCCACCTCTGAGTCTGTAACATCCACCACGTACATGCCTTTTGTGTGCCTCTTTTGCCCATCTCCATTTTTCAAGAGGGTGTACTGGCAAGCGGCTGTTACAAATCACTCTGTCCTTTCATTTCAGAATCTCAGATCGCTCTGGAAAAAAGACAGATGTTTTCCTGGGAAGTGGGAAAATATTTCCATTTGAGAAACAAGACGGCTGAAGATGCTGCAGTGAATCAGCGGTGATCTGGCTTGGGGCATTGCTCCTGGCTCCCTTGCTGAAACCATCAGACAACATCACCCTGTCCAGGGGAGGAGTCGTGGCCTTGAATCCTGTTCTCACGGCTCACCCCTGCACTGTCTCTCTCAGCACCCACCTCT